GTGTCGAAAAACTTCTCGGCCAAAATTACTGGCAATTTGTCTTCCCTCTGGTGAAACAGTGCATCGCCGCATTGTGAACCGAAAACCAGCGCGCATGACATGACTGCAATGTGTGAGCCGAAGCTGGAAATACCGCATCGAAACCACATTATTTCCGTTTACCGACCTTTTCGTAAGATAAACGTGTAGAGTGTTGCGAGGCAACGTGATATTTGCAGAAAGAGAGATGAGAAAGGAGAAGACGAGAAAGAGAGAGAGAGGAGAGAGGAAGAGAGAGAGGTGACGAATTGAAGAGAGAGAAAGCGATGGCATGAATGGATGGATGGATGATGGACGGACGGACGAGGCACGAACGGAACGGACGGCGAGTCGGACGGACGGACGGGCGGTGCGGGCGTTCGGAGCGACGACGGACGGACGACGGACCGGACGCGACGGACGGACGGACGGACACGGTGCGGCGCGGCGGAGCGCGCGGCGGGGCATGGCAGGCAGAGCAGCAGACAGTCAGAAGACAGACAGGACAGACAGACAGACCAGACAGACAGACAGACAGAATAGAGAGGACGATCAGTAGATTAGATAGATAGATAGAGAGATAGATAGATAGAAGATAGAATAAGATAGAAGATAGATAGATAGATAGATAGATAGAGAAGAGAGAACAGAAACAGTATACAGAAAAAAGGGCCGAGCGACAGAGCGTGATGGTGAATATTCGAAAATAGTTAAACAGAGTCTGCTGATGCCGCTAGGAAGGCTCAGTTAATTTATAAATTAATAATTATGAAGTTAGTTTAAAATAATAATGTTTTATAGCTTGCGGGCCATATGAAGGGTTCAGATATCTTAACTATATGTCTGACGGCAGCTATGATCTGGGGTATAGTTGCGGCACGCGGTGTGTTCTGGTCAACGTGCCCTCTTTCTGATCTTGGCTAAATATGTCTCCACCGGCGTGCCGTTATTCATAACCAGCCTACAGTAGTCAGTGTTTCTACGACCTGAAACACAAACATACAATGTAAATTACACTTACGTACTATCAGAGCTAATAATACCTAAAGGTATAATTACCTAAGGTATTTAAGGTAATTACCTAAGGGTATCATCTTAAGATAATTACCTAAGCGGGATATAAGGTATTATTAGGCTCTTGCGCTTACTATCTATATACATAAATGACGTGTGCATGAGGACAAACAACTATTAGTTTATAGGTAGTGCTTAGTTAGTTAGTTGGGTGTTCATTTCCAGCCCCTTCCCATCGACGTTCCGACAACTTTACAGCGACGGGTCTTGCTTCTTGCTAGCTCTACCGGTGCATAACCGCTTCGCTCCCGCTACAGGGTTGTACGATCAACATAGCTCTACTCGTGCTGTAGCCCCCTTTCGCGTCCCGCTACAGGAGCTGTACGATCAACATAGCCTCTACTCGTGTTAGCACCCCTTCGCCTCCTGCCTACGGCGCTGGTACGTCAACATAGCTCTACCTGTGTGCCCCCCCTTCGACCTCCCGCCTAAAGGGCTGTACGCGTCACATAGCTCTACCCGCGTGTAGCCCCTTCGCTCGCCGCTACAGGGCGCTGTACGCTTCAACCAGCATTACCGTGTAGCCCTTTTCTCCCTCTCGCACAGGGAGCAAATAGCGCTACTGTAACCGCGTAGAAATCGTTTCTGCGCACTCTAATATCGCCTCACTATTGTGATATGGATCGCCCCCATCAAAGCCGCGCGTTAGTAACAACATGCGATGTAATGTATAGCCATTGCGGCCCTGCTTAAATATCACCGAATCATGCATAACAAGGACAGCCATCAGGTATGTATTTTATGTCACTTATACCCATCGTGGTAAATTATAGAGAAAGACAAGTTGACTCTTCTTCTGTATGCATCGGCGCAAACGTATATATTTGCCGAAAAAAAAACGTGACGCTTTTTGAAACATCTGGTAACTGTCCTGAAGTCCTCCCCCAAAAACATCGAAATAATAATAACTAACAGTAAGCAAAAGATGTCAATATGGCACACGTGATATAATGCACTCTACGCACGCCCACCGTGCACGCACGCACCACACGCACTCACGCACGCCACGGCACCACGCACGCACGCACACGTCACGCACTCACGCACGCACGCCCGCACGCACCGCCACGCACGCACGCCACACTCACTCACACACGCACACACATACATAATACACACACCACACACACACACCACACACCACACACACACACCACACAACACACACCACACGCGGCGCAGGCGCGCGCGCGCGCGCGCCGCACGACAACATCCACACACACACACTCAACACACGCACACACACATACATACATACACACACACACACACACACACACACACACACACACACACACCACACACACACACACACCACACACACACACACACACACTACAGACTGCTTGCGAGACAGAAGGCGTTCTAGGAGCTGTAGTAAGTGGGACGCGGCGGCGATCGTAAATTCAAGCAACAACTAACGACGTACTTATTTCCAACGCATTTTACGAGGAATGCAGCAGCCCTTCCTCCCACTCTATCACCCACAAGAGGATTACATCTTGTTTATAATATTGTTGCAGCCAGAACGCGCAGATTCTACCCGAGGCAGTGCTGAGGTAATTTACTCGCCCACAAAGAATGGTTGCGCCTGACGACGAGCGACGCGGCGTATAGTCTTGCTAGCCGGTTCGAAAGGCTCTCGCCATAAGTGTAACTCGCCGTAATTCATATGTATCAGTTTCGCTGTGTCCAACATATGCTGTGCGTAATGAAACTAGATTGATCGTCGTAATTAACTGAAATCAATTGTTCAGCGTCACTGCGAAACCATGGTGATCGTTATTATAAACGATTGTGTGGGTGCCGCACGCCCAGCAAATAAAAATAAATTGTACGGAAAGCATACACGGTGCACTGTATGGGCAGTAGACGCCGCACCTTGCTGTTCAAACGCATAATATTTTTACTAATCTATCTATCTATCGTATAGCATAGGATAGATGAGGGTAGATAGTAGATAGTAGATAGATAGATAGATGATAGATAGATAGAATAGGATGGATACATAAGATAGGTGATAGATAGATGGATAGATAGATAGACTAGATAGGATAGATAGCATAGAATAGATAGATAGGATAGATAGAGGAGATAGATAGATAGATGTAGATAGGATAGATAGATAGATAGATAGATAGAAGAGATAGATAGATAGATAGATAGATAGATAGATAGATAGATAGATAGATAGATAATAGATAGATAGATAAGCATAGATAGATGATAGATAGATAGATAGTAGCATAGATAGATAG